AACCCCATGCGCAGCAAAAGCCACATGAGATCCCAACCAAATTGCATTGTTTGTGCTTCCAGAGGGGGCATTTCTAACTCAAAATGCCCTTGTGCTCCAACTAAAGAGGGCAGTTACTGTGCAATGGACCTGATCTAGTTAAGGCCATGATCTAATCAGGCAAGTGCTTCATTTATTTTTTTTTTTGGCTGCAAAATGGGCCCTACCATCCCAGCACAATCTGTGCCACTGCTGGGGCGATGTAGACTCATAGTACTCCCCATGCTATCACTGGCTGTCAGAGTATGAGAACAGTATACATGAAGCCAACACATTCCCCTCCCACCCCAATCCCAACTTCTGGGGACATGGGAAACAGGAGAGAGGGTTTTTTTGATAGCAAGAGTAATGTATTAAGGGATGCATCTGAAGCAAGGTTTATTTTAAAAACCGTCTAATATCTGGAGATTAACAGTTGCTTTCCTTTAAAACCAACACTGCCATCTGCACCCACGCGCACTTTCAGATTTATCGAGCAGACATCTGGAGTCCTGGAGAAAATGTCTGTGGGGCCAATTCCAGGGGGGAGCACCCACCAAGCCAATCAAATGTTGCCCTTTCAGTTGACTTCCAAGACCTCCGTCTCTGGCAGGCCGAACTTAGCCTTGTACTTGTCAAAGAGCTTACTCAGCGAGCTCACGTACATGCTGTGATAAAGGTCGATTTCCCTCTGGGTGGGATGAGCTGTTTTCGGAATGGTGATTGGCTCCCCAACTGAAGGAGGGTGAAAAAAATACAAGGAAAGTTAGGAGTTTGTCCACCCCAAAGAAAAAAAAACAAAACAAAGCAGCAGCAGAGTGTTCTTATTTACAGAGAATAAAAAAGAAAAAAAGTGGAGTTTGTGCATACTGTAGCTGAAATATTTTCATTCAATGCTGCAGTTACAACAATGTAGATGCAGCTTGCATCAGAATCGTCTACCCCAGCAAAAGGCTCATCCTCCACTGACTTCAACAGGCACTGGATCAGACATGAAGTTACCATGGCAAAATCATCACACCACAGAATCCCCTTCTTGCAGCAAAGCATGCTGCACCCACACCGTACTTGCACAAAGCTACCCTGTAGCACATGGCGTCCCTGGCACCAAGACAAGAGATTATAAATTTGCTGCCATTACAGACCAGTGGGTGCTCCCGACCATGTCCCCAGCAAGGGGGCAGGAGTGATGCCGTGTTTTACAGCTTGGTGCTTCCTGGGACTTGACACATGCTGAACCAAGCTGGCAGGTCTGACTAGTGCACACTGTTCATGAATGGGCCACACCAAATCAAACAAGCCTTGTGCATGCTAGAATTAGCTACTGATTCACCAGGTGTTCACACCCTGTTCCCAAGAAGAGCTGCTGCCATACACTACTAAGTGGGATACTAGACAGGCTCCACGCAGAGAGAGGAAGCAGAGAAGTCTGAGGACTCTGGGCTCGAAGCAGCGCTTGGGGAATTGCATGGTTACTTAGATTCTGTGCATCCTTCAGAAAGAGCCTTGTTCCTGGTAGATCCAATTACGAGCCGAGTTTAAGTGAACTGGGCACTCGACATCTACCCTAAAGTGACACCTGGAAAGATGCTGGTTGTTTCTCCCTCCTGAAGGGCTTTGCTACTTTAGGATGAGAAGATTAAGGGGCTTGGGTCCATGTCACATTTATCTAGACAGCCACCCAGAAAAATAGCCTCTAGCTGGACAAATCAGAGTGAACAAGCAAGGGACTTGGTTCATCTTGGAATCAAGGGTCATCAACCCTGCTCCAAACCCCAGTGCAGGTGACCGAATTGGCCTCCTCCACCTAGAAATGCAACAGCTCAGCACTGCAGGGCTAACAACAGGACTCACCAACTGTGGTGATGGGGTTAGGGTAAGGGATCAAACCCCAGGTGTTGGAAGAGAAGAGGCCACGACCATGAAAGACGCACGGAGCAAAGCCAATGTACTTCTGAAACTTCTTCTGGACCCATCTGCCCCAGCAGCCCTCCTCGAAGATCACCTGCTTGTACACCTCGTTCTCGCCAAATGAGTACACGGGAACTAGATCTGCCCTAGAAGGAGGGAAGGCAAAAGGGTGTTAGAACTGGATAGAAATCAGGGTCCCAGCTCCATGCAGACATGTGGCCAAGCAAAAAAGAGTGCAGGCAGGGTCTCCAATGGAGTTTTGCAGGCTGTATTTCCTGGAACTTTTGACCTGAAGCATACCAACGAGCTCCTGCTATGGCTAGGAGTTGCTGTGGTCAGCCAGATCTTACCTGCTACAGTGGGTCCCATGGTGTTGGTCAAGATATCAGACACTCAAGAGATCTGGGTTGGATGCCTGCTCTGCCACAGACTCAGTGTTACCCTAGGTTAGTTCCTTGCCCTTCTGGTTTCCGATTTAGGAGCAGTTTGTCCTGTGCTTCTATCAGACTTGATAAGGCTGGGGCATTTACCCCCATTTTCTTGTGCATCTATTGGTCACTTCAGATTGCAATGTCTTTAGAGAAGGGACTGCTCACATTCATGAAGGGTCTCTAGCACAAGGGGCTCTGATCTCAGCTGGGACCATTCGGCATTACTATAACATACAGTAAGAGAACCAGAATGCTTTAACATGTACAAAAAAAAGCACACAGGGAGGTGAACTCTGTAAATCCCTTGCATAAGAAGGGGGAAGGGAAGCCAGTACTTCAGCTGCTTGCTGGTTCATATTTCAGGACAGGACAACACTGTGGAACTGGCCCTGGGTGAAGAATGGTTCAAAGCTCTGGAAATGCAGCAGCTTCCTCCTTTGGTGCAGGTGGTAGAGCAAGCAGCCACAGCCCATGCCACAGAAGCTGGGAGGGAAGAGGGCACTAACAGAAGGATTTCTGCTCTGGGACTGGTTGCTTCCACTGCAAATCAGGTCACATGCCTCTGCCAAAGAAGAGGCAAGGACACTCTTGTGCCTGAAATTTCTCCAATGCAGTGGGAAGGCTCCACTATATCAGCAGGGAGGGGTGAACTGAAAGAACATGGAAAGTGGGTGCTGGATGCAAAAAGCTGACAGGCACCAACACGAGCCCACTTCTTACCCATGCTGCAGAGCCAGCTTTACAAATCCTTTCCGATTTTTCAGAATCACCAAGTTCTTCCCAGGCGTGCAGTTCAGGGACTCTGCTGCTCCCCCCACCACAATGATCACGGCGTTGCCAGTGCCATTCTTGGATAGGATGAAATCTATGGAGTGACGGTTCACAGGGCAAATACCTATGTGATCCAAAATAAGCAGGGGGGGGGAGAAGTCAGGCTATGAGGTACTGAGGACCCGCAGGTTTCTAGCGACTAAAGAGTCAGTACGAGGATTTACATTGGATTCTAGAAAGGCACAAGCAGCTCAGTACTGCCCCCAAATGCTATGCAAACCTAAAAACAGCAACTGCAGGAGAAAAAAAAAAAAAAACCCACCCAAAAACAAGACACTTATTAAGCCCAGCCCTTGCTATATCTATTAGCTGAAACTACCGAGACTTGTGGATAGTATGACATTAGGCCAAGCACCCTCTTAACAGAAGGAAAATCCCACAGGCCAAAATTTATAATCTAAAAGGTGCCCAACTCTTGCAAAAGCTCATAGAAAGCATCTTGTGATCCTTCCCAGTGAGCTGGGGAGACCACCTGTTAGTTGAGCAGATTGGGTTTTAGTTATTTAAAAAAAAGAAAAAATTAAACTCAAAAAGAGAGTCCCCCCAAACCTTCCCCCCCCCACTATAGCTGCAGTACTGATTTTCAAAGTCAAAGCCCCTCCACCCCCAAGCCCACAGCCCTTCCTTATTATAGGGCTCAGCTGCGTGACCACCTGAGCTGAACCTAACCCTCCTCAGTTAGTAGCACAGGTCTGTCCAGCTTTAGAGCAGGAGCCAAAAGCCTCTGGGCTGCACCAACCCGAGCTAGACTGTGCCCCTGGGGTGGACGCTGGCAAGGAAAGCCAGAAGGAAGGGGAGCCTGAAGACCATCTGCTGTTGCAGCCAGGGTTGTGGGGCCCTGCAGCCTGGAGGCTCCCTTTTAATTCCTCAGAGACCGCACAGCTTGGGAGCTCCAAATTAGACAGTCCCACTTTTGAGACTGGAGTAGATTAGTGGAAGTCAACAGCTTGGTTCCACAGGTTAATCCCTCCCTGCCCCGTCTACAAAAAACAGAGCTCTTTAAAAAGATGAGTGCTCCGTGAACAGCTGTGTGGGCACAACTGCTCCAAGCACTTGCATCTGTATCCCCACTAGGCAACTAATTAAAGCAAATAAACCAAGCAAATAGCACAGCGAGGTGAGCAGGCACAGCAAGGGATCAGGCCTCTTGGGTGTTCAATCTAAATGAAACCTCCTCACAGCCTCCTGCCAAACAGAGCTGCTTTCTAATCATCCAAGGCTAACATCTATCGCCCTCCTACTTGACAAAGGATTTAGGCTTTTGGAAGGGAAGGCCTGGATTGCTAATAAACTTCCGAAAAGAAATGCAAAAAAACTCTAGGACTCTTGGTTTGGAGATGATACCTTTATTAGACCAACTCAGCTGGTCTAATAAAAGGTATCATCTCCAAACCAAGAGTTTTGTATCTCAGACCAGCACGGCTACCAAATCCATCCCTAATAACTTCCTAAAACATCTGTGAAGTGCCCCCTATGGTAGTGACTGTAGGCATCAGGGCAGAGAAGCAAAGTGTATTAGTGACAAGTACTGAAGGGAAGCCTTGCATCCATTTCCTGGAGAGATCTGGCCTGTTCTCTCATTAACACCACTAGGCTACTTAGCTACAGACAACTCTGCCTCGAAGCAGATCAGGACAAGCTGCTCTTGGGAAAGGACCGATTTGGCACGGAAAGGGATCTTGCATCAAGTTTCTAGCAGTCAGAGCCAACATTTCCAGAACTGTTTCCTGACATTACTATGCGCTGAAAGAGACTAGGACTGCTCTGGAGGAGCTAAGAGCAAACTCCCTCCTTCCCTTCACTTACCACCAGACATCAAGTAGTCCCTCAAAATTGGTATCCGGAAGTTCCCAGCCAACGTAGCAAGATACGGTCTAATGCCAGGAAACTTCTGGCTGACCCCGGTGGCTTCCGTGCCAAAGTTGCAGAACGCGCCAAAGCCCATGATGCCATGTGGGTGGTAGCCAAATATGTAATTCCGATTGGTCGGCAGGTTGTGGGTCTTCACCAGCTACAACAAAGAGGAGAGTCTTGGCTTAGAGCATCAAAGACATGTGCAGAAGCTGTTACGTGATGTCACTGGAGGCCCGAAAGAGTCAGTGTGACATCGAGTTCCAAAACCCATGATACAGTCATGACCGTTACTGTCCCAGCCCTTAAAGTCACCTCCTGCCAAGGATGTGCACATCATGCACACTTCAGTTCAGCAAGATTCATGGAAAGGACTATTTAAAAATCAAGAGAATCCTTCTGGCTCCTAACCTTTAAACAAACACATACTGTGCAAATGAATATATTCATAGTCATTGAAGCAGGACAGGAGACGGATCAGTTTGGAGAAGCCCTGTATACCTCCAAGGAGGAAATACCTTTCCCCCTTAGCATCCTGTCTTCCCATTTCAGGTGCACTTTAAAACCTGAAGCAGGAAGGCATACAGGCTTGTTCACCCAGTTTAAGTCTGCCTGGAAGGGCTTAAATTTCATTCACTGAACTGATTCAGCGTTATATGGGGGGGGGGGACAGTGCTCCGACGTGGGTCCGGCTGATCCTCCAGACATCCCACACTGCTTTGTTCCTCCCCTCCCCACCATGCTGCTGAGGGATGCAGCAAGAACGCTCTTCGCCACCTCCTTTATATCACTGAGCTCCCTTGCACTGCTTATTCAGTAAGAGTGATCCAACAGCTAGCTGCATCCTCACTCGACTCCACTGCAGCCCATCATTGCACCCCACCATCTCCTTGGTTTCTGGGCACGCACAAGTGCAAGCCTACAGCCAAGTCAGGCAAGCACACTTCAGGTCATTTACAGCCTACTGAAGTCACATTTAGGAGAGAAGGGACACAAGTGAAAAATGCTGCCAACCACAGGACATCCACACCTTGGACCTCTCAAAACATGGGTGCAAGGCCCCCCTCATCCTCCACAAGGCACGCTCCAGAGCCACAGTACTTCACATAACAATGAACTGGTTCCCTGTCAGGGGCATCTGGGAAGGGCTGTGCGTGTCCGCACCCCAAGAGATACGGGACACTGGGTTTGATGGACCTGTGGTCTGACCCAGGACAGCAGGTCTGATCTTGTTGGATTTCATTAATAACCTTACCCCCCGCCCTTTTTTTTTTTTTTTTTTTAGTTCCCTCCTGCTCTCTCCCTGACCCTTCACAGACTAAAAGTCTTCCTTGTCCTGGAACTGCAGGTCACACTTTATTCTACAATGCTTTTTACTATAGGCTATGACCCATGCAGAAGCCAAGGACACCAGGGCCAAGCATCCCACATCTGTGGCCTGCAGCTGTTAGTGAGATTAGACTGATACCCAACTACAGGCTCTGGGACTTGCAACAACCCTGCAACCTCCTGCTTGGTACTGCGAGAGCTGCTCCATACTAGCCACTCTCCCCTTTCAGCAGCATCACCAGGTTTCTTCTCAAACCACAGCAGATTTGTACCTCCTTTCTCCTCATGTCACTCAGACCTTTGCCCTTTGTAGTCTTACCCTCTCGCAGGCTTTCTACCATGCCAAAACGGGGCACGGAAGGCCCCTGCAGCCAGTATTCAGTTCCTGGAGGGATTGTATGGGAACCCGAGTGACAAGGCTTTGATTCATGGCTGAAAGTATTTTTTTGACCATTTGAAAAATAGGGAGAAAAAAAAGCCTGGCACAGAACCAATCCCTCTTAAAAGAAGCCGAAATGTCACGGGTATGTCTCAGTTCCCACCCGTGGGCACAGTGCAGAGGAACAAATCCATGTCTTGGCTGAATCTGCGCCAGCTGCCTGGTATGGCAGACTGGGTTCCCCTTACAGAAAATGCCTATCAGAGCAGAAAGAGCCATGAAAGGTTGTTTGACTGGGAAAGGCAACCCAATACTTGGGCTGCAGCTGGTTTACCTGTAATCCGTATGGGAGGGACCGCCTGGCATCACTTCCCCCAGTCCTCTGATCTGCCATGAAAGCCCGGACAGCGTGCACAAGCTGCCAGCTGGCCTTTCACGAAGCAGAGAGGGGAATGCAGAGTACAATTCCTCGGTGGTTGTGGGAGCAGAGATGTGCTTGGTTTCCCTGCATTCAGAGGCAGGCTTTAGGGGCTGTCAGGTTCAGAAGAAGCACAGGCTTTATCTGCTCTGTAACAGATGCTCCAGTGCCCCTCAGGCAGCTGGGCCAGTTTCTGCCAAAAACTCATGTATTTAAACTGCGGTACCCCCAGCGTGACCCAGGACCCTGCTGCACTAGCTGTGTAAAGACCATCCCCAAAATGCTGGCAGGCCCCCACATCTAGAGGCAGAACCTGGCCCTTTATACACATGCCTAATAGTGCATATTTGTGCTAGAAAGCCTAAAGCAGCTTTCCCCCAAAAGCTAGGTCAGTAGCACTGTGCTGCTGCTGCCACAAGCTTAAGCCAAAAAGCTTTCTTGGCAATAGAAGGTAACATATGACAACACCACAGCACGTGGCTGAAATGGGCTTCCGGTGTCCCCAATACACTGTAGTTAATCAAATAACTATGTTTGAAGGACACATGGGATGGCACTTGCTAATGAGCTGTAGAAAACATGTTAGCGTTTCTTCCTGAAAAGCACATGCAGTAGTGCAGCACGTCAGTCGACAGATCACCCCCTACCCTGGGGACCACATTTCTCATTCCAAGTTACACCGCTATGAATTGCTGTGACTAATCTCGAGAGCCACAAGAATACAGCCAATCCCTGAATTTTGACAGCACCTAGCGTTCAAGACCTGGAGGCAGCCCCCTTACGCCAAGTGCTGTATATTTAGCAACAGCCACACCCACAGTGAAGTTCACTGCTTAATGAATTACGGCAACAGTGATTTTTAACCTTATTGTCTAATCACTCCCTTGTTAATAGTGTGCCAAGCAACCCGTCTGCCCTCCCTGCGTGAATACCGACCAGACTGGCAGACCCGTGTACATTCAGCCTGGCCTTTCCCAGCAGAGCTCAGCTCCATCTTTGCTGCCCACATGCACAGTGAAGGGAGTCGGGCACTCCAGGTGCTAGGGCAGAGTATCCCAACCCCTGGGCCATGGCCCAGTACTGGGCTGCAAAGGGTTGGCTGCCGGACCGCAAGTCCAGAAGTGACCGGCGTACTGTGGACCAGCAGCCAACCCTTATTTTATAATTTTGTATACAGAGTTGGCTGCCAGTCCACAGTATGCCGATCACTTCTGGTCTGCAGTTTGCTGGTCCGTGACCTAAAAAAAAAAGTTAGGACCCACTGTGCTAGGGGATGCACAAAACAGATCAATCAAGACAGTTTTATTATGATACCCACTACCCCTGAGAAGTCAAGAGCAGTGTGCTTTTCAGATGAACACATTATGCTCCAGATAAAAGGCTGTAACCTTTTCCCCTTCATCTTAATTGCTAGACAAGTCTAATGCGTCTCAAGCAATTAGAGCTGCATGGCACGTTCATGGTTATGGATGGAGAAGACGGCACATCCATGTGGCTACGGCTTTGCCAGGTAAGAACAGGGAGAGCGCTCAGTGCCAGGAATGCAAACTGCTTCAGGCAGAAATAGAGAGGGAGGAAACGGGCTAAAAAGAAAGTGGACTTTGAAGGGAAGAAAAATAATCAGATTTATCTTGCACATGCAGTGCTGGATATCAGTCTGAACATCAATGCTGAGCTTGCCAATTCAGGACATGTCAGAGCCATCTCTGGGCCTTGCTGTACCCACAAGCAGCCAGTTGAAATTAGTCTCATCCTCTGCTCCTGCTCCACACCAAACCAACTCCCTGAAACAAGGCAGTGTGGCTGCCCTGGAGCAGCTCCAGGTATGTGCTCAGCATCACCCTCAAACAGCTTTCCCCAAGCACAGTGCAGAAGATGTACAGGCTTGACTGAACAGGGCAGGGGGATGAAGGCAGCTGGCTTGTCCCAGCAGATGACCTTGGTCAGCTCAAATCTTGTGCACGTGGGTTTACTACAGAAGGGAGTTCACAGCCAAGAGGCATTCTTGATTGGACTCGTCAATTTGTCACCACTTCCATTAGTCCAGAGACCCTGCCACAACCCCACTTGCCTTCTGGGACAGAAGCAGCAAGCACCACCAAGAAGCACCCTATTCCCTTGTGCAGGCACAGACCCAGCTAAGAAAACCCCCAAGGCTGAGTGCAACTCCAGGCTGGACCAAGCTAGTCCCTCTGGTGCAGCAGGGCAAGTAACACAGCTCTCCTGTGTGCTGTCCGTGGCTACTGGCAGTGGTCCAGCCTGGCAGAGGGCTAAATGGGATGGCCACACAGCAGAGCATTGGCTTTGGAAGATGGACGCT